CATGACCGCAGTGCTCTCTGGGGCACATATGGGGAGAGGCGGTGCCTCAAGTAGGCAGGCCCCATGTAGGGCTTTAAAGATTAGCACCAGCACCTTGAACCGATTCCGGTACGCTATAGGCAGCCAGTGTAGTATCCTCAGCACAGGCTGGATGTGATCCCGTATAGAGACACCCAACAACAGCCTGGCCGCGGCATTCTGCACTAGTTGCAGCCTCCGGATCTGGGACAAGGGCAGCCCCATGTAGAGAGCGTTGCAGTAGTCTAATCTCAAGGTGACCATTGTGTGGATCACTGTTGCAAGGTCATTACGTTCGCGGAAGGGAACCAGCTGCCTGATCAACTGAAGGTGGTAAAAGGCCGCCTTGGCAGTGGCTGCTACCTGGACCTCTATTGTTAAGGAGGCATCCAGGAGCACTCCAAAGCTCCTGACCCTCGGTGCTGGCACCAATGGTGCCCCACCGAAAGCCGGTAATGGGATCCCTACCCCCGACCAATGTTCCCTCTAAGCTGAAGAGTCTTGTGAGCAAAAATTCTACTTTGTGAGCTGCTGGCATTAAAGTTGAGAGTGAGCAATTTGGCTATTGCATAACTTAGTTTGCTCTGGAGCCATCCTTCCTGAGCGAAGACAAAAATGTGTGAGCCGGAGGCTAAAAAACTGTGAGCTAGCTCACACTAACTCAGCTCAGAGGGAACTCTGCCCCTGACCTGCTCCGACTCAAGCACAGGACCTCCGTCTTCATTGGATTCAGTTTCAGTCGAAGCCAGCCCGCTAAATCTTGCAGCGCCAGCTCCAGGTCATCTGGGTTGGAGCCGGATCGCCCACCCAACAACAGATATAGCTCGGTGTCATCAGCGTACTGGTGACACCCCAGCCCGTGCCTCCGGGCAATCTGGGTGAGGGGGCGCATATAGATGTTAAACAACATCGGGGATAGCACCACCCCTTGCAGCACCCCACACACCGGTGGGTGCCTCTGGGACGTCTGCTCCCCTAGTGCCACCCTCTGTCCCCAACCCTGGAGAAAAGAGGCAAGTTATTGGAGGGCAAGCCCTTGGATTCCAGTGTCGGCGAGGCGGTGAATCAGTAACTGGTGGTCGACGGTGTCAAACGCCGCCCACAGAGCCAACAACACCAGCACTGCCATACCGCCCCAATCCAGATGCCTTCGGAGGTCATCTGTGAGAGTGACCAGTGCCGTCTCCGTCCCATGACCTGGCCGGAAGCCGGACTGGAACAGGTCCAGCATGGAAGTGTCATCCATAAAGCTCTGCAATTGAACCGTCACCGCTCTCTCCATAATTTTGCCCAAATAGGGCAAATTGGAAACTGGCCGATAGTTGGCCAATTCGGCTGGATCCAGTGATGGTTTTTTCAGGAGAGGGTGGACCATCGCTCCCTTGAGTGCCCCTAGGAAAAGCTGCTCACTGAAGGACTTGTTGATAATGTCCCTGAGGGCACCTAATAGCCCATCATGACTAGCTTTTATAAGCCATGGAGGGCACGGATCAAGGCAACACGTGGTTGGGCGTACCATTGAGAGCAAACTGTCGATTTCCTCAAGACCGAGTGGACTGAAATAATCCAGAATAGAACTAGAAGACGTGCAGGGAGCCTCGAGTTCGCTCACTGTCTCAACTGTAGGCGGGAGGTTGCGTCGGAGCAGCAAGACTTTATCTGCAAAATAGCTCGCAAAAGCCTTACAGCCAATGTCCAATTCCCTATCATTTAGCCTGCTCTGTGACAGCTCTGTTAATGACTGAATAGTTCTAAATAATTGAGCGGGGCGTGAGCTAGCAGCCGCAACCGCAGCCGCGTAGAATTGTCTCTTCACAACTTTGATTGCCATCTCATAGGATCTCATAAACGTCCTATATGATGCTCTTGATGCTTTGTCGCAGGCGCGCCGCCAACGTCTCTCAAGTCGTCTGAGCCCTCACTTCATTTGCCGCAGCTCCTCAGTAAACAAAGGAACCCACTTAGAGCGAGGGCGCAGAGGGTGTCGGGGGGCGATCTTGTCGATGGCTGCCGAGAGCCGGTCATTCCAGTCCTCGACAAGCTCATCCAGCGAGCCGCCAGGGGGCATGGGATCCCGCAGAGCCATCTGGAATCGCTGGGAGTCCATCTGGCTCTGCAGGCGAGCCAAAATACGCTCACCGCCCAAACAGGGTCGAAGGGACACATTCATACGGGCCTTCAGGGCATAGTGGTCCAACCATGGAACTGCTGAAGCAGTAATCCGGTCCACTATAACCCCCGCCGCGAAGATCAAGTCAAGCATATGCCCAGCCTAGTGCGTGGGAGCTGTTACATATTGTGTGAGTCCTAGTGCCACCATGGATGACACCAAGTCCATCGCTAGCATAGAGGCCACATCATCGCCATGGACATTGAAGTCACCCAAGATCATCAGCCTAGGGAACTCCAATGCCCAGCCCGACACGGCCTCAACCAGAGATGGCAGGCTATTGGCTGGTGTGTTGGGCGGTTGGTACACCAACCAAATAACCAAACTCTCCCCAGCCTCCAACACCAGGCCCGAGCACTCAATGCCCACAAGCTTCAGTGGCGGGAGCGACCTGTAGGAGTAAGCCTCCCGAATGAGCAGCGCCACTCCTCTCCCCCGCCCCTCAGTCCATGATTGGTGAAGGACTGCAAACCCGGGTGGAGCCAACTGGGAGAGAGCTACTGTCTCCCCGTCTCGCACCCAGGTCTCATCTCCTAAGGCAGTTTCTAACCACACTGGACCAGGGAACTCTGCCCTCTTCAAAGTTAACTCCCTGTTTGACTGGGTACGAAATTTTCTTCTCTCTCTAGAAGATCTATCCCCTTTCCTTGGCCTGAATGGGAGTCTTCACCTACTTCCCAAACTTCTTTGCCAGCTTCCCCCCAGTTCTCCATCTATGTTAAACTGCTCTCAGCTAAAGCTGAAATCAGACTCAACTCAGTCAAGGCAGAAATCTGACTGACTTTCTCCTCAGCATTTAGCTCTCAAGTCTATCCCTGCACAGCTGGTGCTAATCAATCAAATTGCTTGGAGCAGCCTGTCACTCAAGGCTCTCTGATTCGATAAAGAATTAACCTTTCGCAGTCCTTTAGTTGTTTGTCCAGCACTTTTAAGCTTCTTAGAAGTGCAGTCCGTCACAGTTGCCATAAGTCGGAAGCAACTTGACGGCTCTTAACACGCACTTAACACGTACACAAAACTGGGATTACATGTCTGATTTGGGAAGAATATATGGAAAATATAATGTGGAATTAGGCTCTGAGGAGACTGGGGGTGGGACAAGGTGGGAGAGAGGTGCTGTTTGCATTGCCAAAGCATCACCTCATAATGTGTTGTTGCAGTCTAAGTATTCAAGTTAATTATTTCAGTCTAGGTGATGAGGAGATGTAAGAAGATGTTGTCAGGGTCTGTCTCTCAGTCCTGGAACTTCATTTTTATGGAGGGTTTCTCAAGCTTCCATGTCCCCGTGCACACCCAGAGATCTTTTTGCTTTTAGTACCCCCTGAGGAACTTCCCCATTCCCAGTTTGGGCTTGCCAAAATCATACTCCCATCCCCTGTTGATCTCTGCCTACCCATCACCCCATATTGCTTAGCAGAGACAAAAGAGGAGAAGAAGCACACAGTGCCCACCCAATATCTTACTAGGTCCCTTTTTTGTTCATTAAGGGAACGGATGGAAGCGATGGAGAAACAGATTGCCAGCCTTACGGGATTGGTGCAGAGTGCGTTGATGCGAAGTTCTGATGCGGAAACCCCCAAGTAAGAGGTTGCAGGGGTGCTGGATTTACTTCTTCTCTCTCCATGGGGTTGGTGGTAGTGGAGGGGTTGTCTGTGGATCAAGTGTGTACAGGTGTGTACAGGTGTGTACAGGTGTGTACAGGTGTTACACAACAGAGTGTGTACAGGTGTTACACAACAAAGCTGATGCAGCGGTTAAATTTCCAGGTTGCCAGGTTGAGTCTTCTACCCAAGCCAGTAAAAGCTCATGTCTCTCGGAACAGAGGGACGGACTACCCTTTGAACAAAATCCTCCACTACTGATCAGGGGACCACCGCTGAAGAACCTTTTCACAGCCCCCCCCCTCATTTGCGCAACCTTCCTTACCACAAACATAGCTCCCCCTCAGATGTGGAAACCATATTCCACCTTACTGCCTTCATTGCATCTCCCTTACAATTGTGCCTCGGTTTTATGACCACCTATCCGGAATGGAGGCTTCATTCCTTCTCTGCAGATTCCCTCTCCTGCCAAATAACCTGAACCCCTAGAGTTGCCAACCTCCAGGAGGGGCCTGGCAGTCTCCCACTATTACAACTGATCTCCAGACAATGGAGATCAGTTCCCCTGAAGAAAATGGCTGCTTTGGAGGGTGGACTCTATGGCATTGTACTCGGCTGAGGTCCCTCCCAAACCCTCCCCTCCCCAAACTCCACTTCTGAAATCTCCAGGGTTTTCCCAACCTGGAGCTGGCAACCCTATGAACCCCCCCCCATCTCTCTTCCTGGCAGGGCTACAGTTACTGAAAATATGAATTTGTCATGTGGCAGTAAGTTCCACAGGCTCACTTTAGGGTGAGAGTGCAAAAAAGACATTTTTTGTCTGTGTGAGGATCCTTTTACCAGGGACATGTTTCAAGCCCTGCCCCTCTGTGACAGCAATTTCCTTCTGTTTTTTGACCTCCACTCTGGTCATGGGAAGATGCATGAGGGTAGTAGAGTGACTGCTTAAGTTGGGGGACCCCAAAAAGCTTTCTTCTGCATCGTGGTTCAAAAAAGAGGTGGGGCCACACACTGCTCCTAAGGTAGCATTATCCTTGTCTACTGATTTGGTTACCACCAATGGGAGACGGCTTTGAAGTTCAGGGTTCGGATGCAGCGTGTGGGAACAAGCAGACCAGTAGAAATACTAGAGTAACACTTGCCCCCAGCATGAGAGCCAGCATGGCGTAGTGGTTAAGAGTGGTGGACTCTAATCTGGAGAACTGGGATGGATTCCCCACTCCTCCACATGAGGCCGGTTGGGTGACTTTGGGCCAGTCATGGTTCTCTCAGAACTCTCTCAGCCCCACCTGCCTCATAAGATGCCTGTTGTGGGGAGAGGAAGGGAAGGCGATTGTCAGCCACGTTGAAAGCTACTTTGGTGTAGAAAAATGTGGGGTATAAAAATCAACTCTTCTTTTCCCCCTTGGGTTCCTTTTGGCACATGAGTGGGATCTAACTATAGTGCACACTATAAGCTTAGTAGCGTAAGGGCACTGCCACACATGAGTGATGCTTCTCCTGTGCTGAGATGTCTAATCCTTGGGGTTTTCTTGCAGCGAGAGGACAGAAGGAACCAACGGAGGGACGCCTCCATCAGCACGTAAGTGAGCATCGAGCATCAACCTCTGCTTCTTAGGCAGAGAAGTGATCTTAAGTACTCAAATGTATCCTCTCTCACAACTAAGCTGGTCCTGCATTATGCCTCCTCTCTTGTCAGAAAGAGGTTAGAGGTCGCCACCTGAGTCCAAAGCAAAATCCAAAACCAGAAACCACATAATAGCTGGATGTTTAAAAAACAGTCCATAAGAACATAAGAACATAAGAGACGCCAATGTTGGATCAGGCCAAAGGCCCATCCAGTCCAACACTCTGTGTCACACAGTGGCCAGAAATACCAGTGCCATCAGGAGGTCCACCAGTGGGGCCAGGACATTAGAAGCACTCCCACTGTTGACCCCCCCCCCAAGCACCAAGAAGACAGAGCATCACTTGCCCCAGAGCCCCTATCTATACCTTGTGGCTAATAGCCACTGATGGACCTCTGCTCCATATGCTTATCTAATTCCCTTTTGAAGCCGTCCATGCTTGTAGCCACCACCACTTCCTGTGGCAGTGAATTCCATGTGTTAATCACTCTTTGGGTGAATAAGTACTTGCTTTTATCCGTTCTAACCCGACCGCTCAGCAATTTCATGGAGTGCCCACGAGTTCTTATATTGTGAGAAAGGGAGAAAAGTACCTCTTTCCCTACCTGCTCTTTCCCATGCATAATCTTATAAACCTCGATCATGTCACCCCTCAGTCGTCTTTTCTCCAAGCTAAAGAGCCCTAAGCGCTTTAACCTTTCCTCATAGGGAAAGTGTTCCAACCCTTTTATCATTCGAGTTGCCCTTTTCTGCACTTTTTCCAAAGCTATAATATCCTTTTTAAGGTGTGGTGACCAGAACTGCACACAGTATTCCAAATGAGGTCGCACCATTGATTTATATAGCGGCATTATGATATTGGCTGATCTGTTTACAATACCCTTCCTAATAATCCCCAGCATAGCATTGGCCTTCTTTATTGCAGTCACACACTGTCTCGACATTTTCAGTGAGTTATCTACTACAACTCCAAGATCTCTCTCTTGATCAGTCTCTGCCAGTTCAGACCCCATCAATGTGTATGTAGAGTTAGGATTTTTGGCTCCAATGTGCATCACCTTGCACTTGGCCACATTGAACCCCATTTGCCACTTGCCCATCCTTGACAGATCCCTTTGGAGTGCCTCACAATCCCTCACTGGTTTTCACCACCCTGAACAACTTCGTATCATCCGCAGATTTAGCCACTTCACTGCTTACTCCCAACTCCAAATCATTAATGAACAAGTTAAAAAGCAGTGGACCAAGTACTGATCCCTGCGGTACCCCACTGCTTACCCCCCTCCACTGAGAGAACTGCCCATTTATACTCACTCTCTGTTTTCTATTACTTAGCCAGTTTTTGATCCATAAAAGGACTTGTCCTTTTATCCCATGATTTTTGAGCTTACTTAGGAGCCTTTGATGATGAGTCCAATAAAGAGAAAGATTTCTCTCCTGGAGAAAGACTGTGCTTATGTTTTCTCCCCACAGTGCAAGATAATATCACCCACATTTGTGGGATACATCTGTATTTTGGTCCTTCTTTCCAGAAAGTGAAGGGTACAACATGATACCAGCACTATTTTGGATCTACATACCCGTTCAGCAGTTGTCACAAGGAAGCTAGCAAGGCAAAGCCTTAAGATTATGGCCTGAAACAACCCATTCCCCTGTTTTTAAAAAAGCATCAAGTCTGACGAAGAGTTCTGGAGAACTCCAAAGCTTTTACAGTTTTGTGCCGTTTTGGTTGGTCTTAATAAAAGCAGTGACATGGTTGCCGTTTTCTGCTCAAAAACACTCTGAACGTAGCTCTGTAGAACAAAGCAGGGTTCTTAGGCTTGTGCCAGGTTAGGTCACAACCCGGATATGGTGCCTGCTTGAGGGCTTGCCCTCAGGGTTGTTGTGAGGGGAAAAGTGGAAGACCCATGTGTGCCCTGGCTTGAGAAAGAACGGGTCAAAAATGTGATGAAATACATTTTGCTGTTGGAAACATGTAATTATTAATGTAGATTTTGAACCTGTTTGATGGTTTATCCCAAAGTCTAATACAGTTGGGATATGATAGCAATCATTCCCCGTGAAATAACAGCACATGGATTTAAGAATGATAGGAAACAGATTCTTTTGGGGTATCTTTTCAGATCTGAATAGAAAAGGCACATCATTTATTATGAACTTGCTGACAGCAACACAAGACGGTGTATGAGAGACACTGGAGAATAAACAGAATGCCAAATAACATAGGGGAAAAACACAACATTTTGTAAGCAGCTACAATGGAAACACATATATTAGACATGTCCGGATCTACAAAAGAGCAAATGACCTAGCAAAATGTGGACAAAAGTTGTTCGTTACTAGAACAGAGAAAATGTTATCAAAGCTCATGTCATGAGGTTACTATTTTCTTAAGGAAGTCTAATATTTATTAATAACTTGATACTTCTATGTACTGGCTTTGAACAGGAAGCTGAGAGCCCATGAGAGAGTATGTGGTTTTCTTCTGATAATCATAAAGCAGAAAGTTCTGCTACCTTGGGACTGTGACTTCCATCCTGCTGTCTCATCGTCGCCTTTGTTCACCCCCTCCCATCCCAGCTGGTGTATTGCCAGGGCTGCCAACTTTCAGACGCTGGCTGGAGATCTCCTGGGATTACAGCTGATCTCCAGGCAACAGAGTTCAGCTGGAGAAAACGGCCCCTTTGTAAAGTAGACTCTATGGCATTATACCCCATTGAAGTCCCTCCCCTCCCAAACCCGGCCCTCCTCAGGCTCCACCCATAAAATCTCCAGTGATTTCCCAAGCTGGAGCTGGCAACCCTATGTATTCTAGCAGGAAGGGGAGGAGGTAGGCAGAGGTCCCTGTGGAGCAACAGACATTTGGGTGATTCTGCATTGGCTTTCCCCTCCATTGTTTTATGTTGGAACGGAAATTCCCCTCTGCTGCTTTCGCTTTTTTTTGATCATCGGATTTTATGGTACCCTCTACATTGCATGCCACTTTCACTTTCTTTGATCATCAAGTTTTATGGTACCTTCTGCATAGATTTATGACTGTTCAGGGGTGACTTTGCAGTCAGTACAGTGTTGCCCCAGGGTATTTGAGTGTGGTTTTGAGCTGCACCTTTTCCTCCCAGTTGAGAAAATGTCAAGCGAATGCCAGATGCAAAATCACCCCGTGCCTCAAGTGGTTGAGCCAAATGCGCTATAAACAAACTTTTTGGGCTCGGCAGAGGAGTGTTGGAAAGGGGAAATTTTGCAGTCTCCTCTTGTCCTTTTTCTTACTGCATGGTGATTTTGGAAATCATGCTCCCACCACTGGGTTTCTTACATTCCGATATCATATGGATGCTTTTCAGTAGAAGCAGTTCATTCACACTTTGGGGTGCAGATCATTAACTGGGTATGTCCTCAGATGAAAGACAGGCATGTGTGAATCAGTTCATACTCCGGGTTACGGGGAGATTTAGAAGTGATGACAGCGGGTTTGACTTTGATCCTTGGGTCGTGGAACTGAGTATCGCACTACATCTATTAATTAAAAGTTTCTAGGCACGATGCAGAACTATTCGGAAGAAGTACAATCTGTAACTTGGTGGGTTTTATAATATATGGTAGTTCCATAAGTAAGGCATAAAGTGGGGTGGAATGAAGTAGGTTGCTCGTTATCCCACATTGTCAGGTTGACTTTAGAGCACCCACCAAGCCCCACATCCCCCCCCCCACACACACACGAAGCAGGAATCACCGCAGTGTTGTGAAAAGTCACAAAGACAATATTTCATGTTCAGGGATTAGGACTGGATGAGCAAATCTAACTGTAAATAGATTAGGGTTGCCAACCTCCAGGTGGTGGCTGGAGATCTCCTGGGCTTATAACTGGTCTCCAGGAAGCAGTGATCAGTTCCCCTGGAAAAAAATGGACTTTGTGGTGTTTTGACCCATTGAAGTCCCTCCCAAACAACACCCTCCCCAGACTCCCCCCCCCCCAATCTCCAGGAATTTCCCAACTTGGAGCCTACAGTCTCAGGTGCAGGAAGATGAAGCTGTCTCTAAGCAAGGCGAGATGGGACTACCAGCGGGCATTGTTGTGCTGGTCTGTTGTAGCAAAACAAAACAGAAATCCAGCAGTTTCATACAGATTGTTGGTGGAAAGTGCTATCAAGTTGTAGGTGACTTATGGCGAAGACCCCGTAGGGTTTTCAAGGCAGGAGACGTCCAGAGGTGGTTCGCCATTGCCTGCCTCTGCACCCTGGTATGCGATCAGGCTAGCCTAGCCTGGGCTGTCCATATGCATTAGCAACATTTATTTCAGCCATGAGCTTTCAGTCCTATTCCACCTGTGCAGGCCAGAACTGCTTGTTGGGAGGGTTGCCACCTCCATATTGGGAAACGCCTGGAGATCTGGGGGTGGAGGAGGGTTTCCAACCTCCAGGTGGTGGCTGGAGATTGTCTGGGATTCGAACTGATCTCCAGGTAAGGTTACCAGCTCCAGGTTGGAAAATATGTGAGGATTTGGGGGAGGGGTGGAGCCTGAGGAGGAGGGGGTTCGGAGAGGGGAGGGACCAATGGGGTATAATGCCATAGAGTATGCCTTTCAAAGTGGCCATTTTCTCCAGTTCTCCATTTTCTCTTTTTTTTGAGAACCAGTGTGGTGTCGTGGTTAAGTGCGTGGACTCTGATCTGGGAGAGCCGGGTTTGATTCCCCACTCCTCCACTTGCAACTGCTGGATGACCTTGGGCAAGCCGTAGTTCTGATAAGAGCTGTTCTTGAAAAAGAGCAGTTTCTGTCAGAGCTCTCTCAGCCCCACCTCCCTCACAGGATGTCTGTTGTGGGGAGGGGGAGGGAAAGGAGTTTGTAAGCCCCTCTGAGACTCCTCTGGGTAGTGAAGAGCGGGGTATAAATCCAAACTACTACTCCTACTCCTCCTTCTCCTCCTCCTCCTGGTGAACAGATTTCTGTCACCTGGAGAGCAGTTGTCATCCCAGAAGATCTCCAGTCACCACCTGGAGGTTGGCAACCCATTTCTTGGCACCCTCCAAGTGTTTTTTAGAAAGTGGCCAGGGCCAGGTGGCACTTTTGCCCAGCAGGGATTCTGTTTGGCCACTGGAGATTAGACTGGCTGCGCATATTTTTTTAAAAGTTGCTTTGGCAGAAGCTGCCACCACAGCACAAGGGTGTCCACTGTGTGACTGAAGGCAAACTATTTGTAAGTAAGAACATATTTTTAAACCTTCCTGTTATACAGAGGTTTTGCCTGAAATACTGAAGAATTGCTATTAGAGTTGCGCGTAACCCCACTCCCCGCCTTTGTGCTCGTCTCCACATCTTGTGGCAGCCATTTTGTTGCTGCCCCCACCACTCTGTGTCAGAATTCCAGAGGTGCCCACAGAGGGTTGTCAGGTCTCCATGGCTGCCCGTGTGGGGAGTGGTGGTAGGATTGCCAGTTTCAGGTTGAGGAACTCCTAAAGATTTTTTTGGGGGAGAGCCTGGGGAGGACAGGGCGTACAAGGCCATAGAGCTCACCTTCCAAAGCATCCACGTTCTCAAGGTGAACTGATCTCTGTAGTCTGAAGATGAGATGTAATTCCGGAAGATCTCCAGGCCCCACCAGGAGACTGGCGTCCCACGGGCTTAAAATATTTGGTGACTCCTGGACTAGAGAGGCCATGAGTCTGATCCACTACAGTTGCTCTTACGTTCCTGTTGGAGACGGGCGGTAGTAACAAGGTCAGTACAGGGCTCTCACTTCCTTGAATAGCCTATTGTACTGTAGAGATAAAAACAGACTAGAGTGACATACGCTGTGATGAAAACCAAGACCTCAGTCGGCTACAGTTCTCTGTGCAAGAAGATTGGCTTATCATTGTGCAAAAACCCAGCATCCTTTTCTTTGGAAGGGTGGGGGGAATCTTGTTGGTCACTAAGGTGATACTGGGTTCAAATCTAACTTTTCTTTGGAAGTTCAGAATGCAAAGCTATTTCCGTTTCAGATCGGATAGGCTTAAGTTGTTGTGTGGTTAATCTTTTTGGCTATCCCTGTGGCAAGGATATTAGACCTCTGCTCTTGTGTTTCTTTCAGCCCCCAGCCGAAGCAGTGTAGGGACCCCAGTGCCTGTCCCCCCACCCCCATCTGCGACTGGTACGCCGGCCGGGCAGCCCACAGCCATCACCCGCCTGCATATGCAGCTGCACCTTCATGACCTGCAGCAGAACGCCAGTGACCTCCGTAACCAGCTGCAGCAACTCAAAAAACTTCAGGTAAGTTGAGGCTGACCTGACCTGCATGGCCCAGGCGAGCCCGATCTGGTCAGATCTGGTCAGTGTTTGGATGGGAGACTTGCAGGGAATACCAGGGTTGTGACACAGAGGCAGGCAATGGCAAACTACCTCTGTGTCTTGCCTTGACAACTCTAGGGGGTTGCCAAAAGTCAGCTGTGACTTGATGGCACTTTACACACACACACACACACACACATAGAGGGTTGCAAGCCCCAAATGGGGGCAGGGGATCCCTTGGTTTGGATGCCCTCCCCCGCTTCAGGGCTATCAGAAAGTGTGTGTGGGGAGAATAGCTCCTGGGCACTCCATTATATCCTATGGAGACTGGTCCCCGTAGGGTATAATGGAGAATCAATCCGTGGGTATCTGGGGCTCTGGGGGCTGTTTTTTGAGACAGAGGCACCGAAATTTCAGCATAGCTAATGGTGCCTCTCCTCAAAAAAAACCCCAAGTTTCAAAAAGATTGGACAAAGGGGTCCAATTCTATGAGCCCCCAAAGAAGGTGCCCCCATCCTCTATTATTTCCAATGGAGGGAAAGCATTTAAAAGGAACATGGTTCCTTTAAACGCGATGGCAGCTTACCCAGAATTCGCTTTGGAGTTCCCTCTTACAGAGCCTCCTGGTAAGTCCCCCATGCACTTATTGGCCTCACTTGGCAACCCTACTCACTCACAGAAGTTGAATCTGGAGAAGGGTTGGGTCTCCTTTCTGTGAGAGTATGTAAAGGAAGATGCAGCGTGGGATAGCTTCCACAGAACAGCAGCTTTAGTTTGTAAAACTACATTTCTGGCCCTTGCGGTTCTGAGGAGATGCTTGAAAGGAACGTGGATGATGCCTCTGATGCAGTTTGTGAAGCCAGATGAGTGGCAGAATAAGATTTTCAAGGATCCACGCCTAGTTCCTTCTCCCCAGACCAGCAACACTTGAATGAATTATGCGAAATAAGGGGAAATATGCAAATTTCCTCCGATTGCATAATATATAGGTTGCAGAATTCAGCTTTTCTTTGCACAGAATTTGAATAATCTGAGCACAGATCATAAATGGGATTTTCCCCCCAGCAAGCACTGGACTCACACACAGGGCACAGGTTAGAACCTGTTTACCCCACAAATTTAAAATAGTTTCCTACTAAAAGGGTGTGTGCGTGTTGAATAGGTACTAAAGTTACCATTTCCTCTTCAAAAAGTAATCTTCTAACCAGTGGCATGGTCACATATGCAGGAAACTGTAACAATGGATGGTATCTCTTCCAATTTGTACTTGATCTTCCTTTAAAGCCCATCATAATATGAGACTCACACATCTGAAAGACTGTTTAAACATAACATAAGAAGACCCCTGCTGTATCAGACCAGTAGTCCATCTAGTCCAGCAACTGTCACACACAGTGGCCGACCAGTCCTCTGGACGGCCAACAACAAGCTGTAGAGACCGAGGCCTTCTCCTGATGTTGCCTCCTGGTTCTGGGATTCAGAGGCTCAGTGCCTCTAAATGTAGAGGTTCCCCTCAGTCACCATGGCTAGTAGTCATTGATAGACCTATCCTCCATGAATCTATCTAATGCCTTTTTGAAGCTGTTTATTCCTGTGGCCATCACTACATCCTCTGGCAGCAAATTCCACATTTTAATCACTGTGTAAAGTAGATAAATAGGTACTGCTTCAGTGGGAAGGTAACAGCATTCCGTGCGCCTTGGCGTTTAGTCATGCTGGCCACATGACCACGGAAACGTCTTCGGACAGCACTGGCTCTTCGGCTTGGAAATGGAGATGAGCACCACAACCCTAGAGTCGGATTTCGAGCCAGGGAAACCTTTACCTTTACCTAAAGTAGTTTTCCTTTTGCTCATCCTGAACCTGCTGCCCATCAGTTTCATTGGATGCCCTCGAGTTCTAGTATTTGGGGAGAGGGAGAAAAATTTATCTTTGTCAACTCTCTCCACCCCGTGCATGATTTTATAAGCCTCTCTCATGTCCCCCCCTTAGTCGCCTCTTTTCTAAACTGAAAAGTACCAGACTTCAGCTTTTCCTCATAGGGAAGATGCTCCAACCCCCTAATCATCTTGGTTGCCCTCCTCTGTACTTTTCCCAGCTCTGCAATGTCCTTTGGTGTAGCCAGTTTGGTGTAGTGGTTAAGTGTGCGGACTGTAATCTGGGAGAACCGGGTTTGATTCCCCACTCCTCCACTTGCACCTGCTGATGTGACCTTGGGCAAGCCATAGTTCTGATAAGAGCTGTTCTTGAAAGGGCAGTTCTGGAAAGAGCTCTCTCAGCCCCACCTGCCGCTCTGAGACACCTTTGGGAAGTGAAGGGTGGGGTATAAATCCAATCTCTTCTCTTCTTCGTCTCCTTCTTTTTGAGACACAGTATGAATCTGGTGTGAATCTATGCAGCAGTTTTGCTTATGGGTACCTTCTTCCCTCTCATGGTCATGGGCTTTTTCCACAGTAGGTCCATTCCTCTGGAAGAGCCTACCAGAGTAGGTGCTGAGGGTACCTTCACTTGCTCTAACAAGGAGAGTGTCCAAGATGGGTCTAATTCAGAAGGCACTTGGTGAAAGGTAAACTTTTGGGGGAGGCAGATTTGGCTGCATTTCTCATTGTGTATTTCCAGTGTATTTAAGAGAAGCCATGCTGGATCAGGCCCAGCCAGTCCAACACTCTCTGTCGCCTTTTAAAGTTGTTTATTCCTGTGGCTATCACTAAACCCTCTGGCAGTGAATTCCACATTTAATCATTTGTTCAGTAGAGAAGTATTTCCTTTTGTTCGTCCTGAATCTACACCCCATTAGCTTCATTGGATGCCCTCGAGGTCTAGCATTTTGGGAGACATTCAGCACAGACAAGAGGAAATATTTCTTTACTCAATGAGCAATTAAATGGTGGAATTCTGTGCCAGTGTGCTTGGAAAGGGGGGTGGAGAGGTTCGTGGAAGATAGGTCCATTAAAGGCTACTAGATATGAACCTCCATGCTCAGAGGCAGTATACCTCTGAATACCAATAGCAGGGGAAGGCGTTGGCGCCTATGTTCAGTTTGTTGGTCCTCCAGGGCAACTGGTTGACCATTGTGTAAAACAGAATGTGAGACTTGATAGACCACAGGTCTAATCCGGCCGGGCTCTTCTGATGTTCCTCATTCACGGCCTTTTTGAGTCATTGTCCCAGTCCCATGGGTTGGGCAACCACCAAAGGTATGGGGAATTCCCTCCTTCCCTCCCTCCCTCCCTCCTGGTCTGTGAGCAGCATTATTCAAAGGCATGCGTGGCTAAATCTTATTTCAGACTCTGGAAGAGCTGTTAATAGTTTTTCAATTGGGCTGGTTAATGGATTATGTTCTGTTGTTGTTTTTAGATGTCGTTTCAATTTTTTAATGCTTTGTAAGTCACTGTGGGACTGTTTGCCAGGGGGAAATGTGGGATGTAAATGGTTTACGGAAAGAAACAAAGCAGGTGAATGGGGGAGCATCGTCTGTGCAGCATCATCAGACCACAATTCTTTACATGGGCAAAACTGCCTTACATATTCAGCCCGTTTCACCGTCCTCACTCCTCTCCCCAAGTTTCCCAGTCCTTCTCCCTGTTTTGCTCCATCCTGTAGGACTCATAATTTGTACTTATTTGTACAGAGTAAGAGAAGCAAAAGACTGCTCCCTGCTCCCAAGGAGCTCCCAGTCTTAATGTAGACATGGTTAAATGGATGGGGCCATGGCTCAGTGATAGAGCCTCTGTTTGGCATGCAGAAGGTCACAGGTTCAATCCCTGGTATATCCAGCAAGAAGTACCAGGAAGAAGAAGAAGAAAACGAAGAGGAGGAGAAGATTGGATTTATACCCTGCCTTTCACTCGGAGTCTCAGAACAGCTTACAAACTCCTTTCCCTTCCCCTCCCCACAATAGACACCATGTGAGGTAGGTGGGGCTGAGAGAGCTCTTTTGAGGACTGCCCTTTCAAGGACAGCTTTTGTCAGAACTATGGTAATCCAGCAGCTGCAAGTGGAGGAGTGGGGAATCAAACCCGGTTCTCCCAGATTTGAGTCCACACAACCACTACACCGAACTGGCTCTCAGGTGATGTGAAAGACCTCTTCCTGAGACCCTGGAGAGCAGATGATACTGACTTTGATGGACCAAGGGTCTGATTCAGTATAAGGCAGCTTCATGTGTGTTCAGGTGTGATGGCCAGGGCAGTGTGAGCACTGAGGAGAGAGACAAGGACAAGATGGGCTGCAAGGGAGCCAGAATTCCATGCCATTTCAACTGGAGATCACAAGAAAACATAAGAAAATAAGAGAAGCCATGTTGGAGCAGGACAGTGGCCCATCCGATCCAACATTCTGTGTCACACAGTGGCCAAAACCCAGGTTCCTTCATGAGGTCCACCAGCATGGCTAAGGCCAACCTTTCTTCCTGGCTTCTTTCTTAAGAACATAGGAAGAGCCCTGCTGAATCAGACTAGTGGTTAGGGTTGCCAGCCCAGGGGTCGTTTCGTAGAAAAAGAGCTAGGGGAACTCATTAGCATAACTCATTAGCATATGCCACACACCCTGACATCACCGGAAGTGTGTCATAAGGCCACACACCCCGTTCCCAACGGTCCTGGCCGCTGCCGCCGGCCTTGCAGCTCCACTGCCGAGCCCCATGAGGGAGTGCAAGGAAGCCCCGCGAAGGCCCTCCCTGGCCCCAGGCAGGCAGGGGTGGGGAGAGGCAGGGAGGAAGCAACTTACCCTCCCTCTTCTCCTTCCTACTCCTGGCTGAATGAGGGCCGGAAGCGGGGCGGCCGGAAGCAGGGGGCGGGGCTTCGTCATGTGCCCCGCCCCCCGTACCTCACCCGGGGGAACTGCGATCCCCCCTGAAATGACCTCTGTGCCAGCCTCTTGGTGGGGCCTGGAGATTTCCCGCTTTTACAACTGATCTCCAGCTGACAGAGATCAGCTCCCCTGGAGAAAATGGCTGCTTTGAAGGGTGAACTCTGTGGCACGCTGAGATCCCTCCCCTCCCCAAATCCCACCTTCTCCTGGATCCACCCCCAAAGTTTCCAGGTACTTGCCAACACAGGACTGGCAGCCCTACTAGTGGTTCAGCTAGTCCAAAATCCTGTTTTCACACAGTGGCCAGCAAGATGCCCAGGAGGGCCAAAACGATGGCAACATCTTCCCCCTGAAGTTGCCCCCGAGCACTGATGTTCAGAAGTTTGAGGTGCACTTTGCTCCTTTGTGCGAGGAAAAGCAGGCGAAGAATCTGTCTGTCCTGCTCCCTTTGCACCCTCTGTCTCTGTCCCTCTGTGGGCCTTTCTTCTCATTAGCCATGCTCACCAAAAGAGAAACCCTGCTCAGCGAGGAACGGGATGATGTCGGAGTAATCTGGCACTGGAACAGGAGGCCAGATGGCGGCTGAGCATCCCGCGCCAGAGATTCGATCTCGCCATCCTTGACCGTGGGAGGCTCTTGTGTTTCCTCGGAGTTGCTTAGCTTCCAGAGATAATTAACAGTGACAGCTTGTTGGAAGCTGGGAAGTGGCGAATGGTGCAGGAGGGTGGGATGGCAAAGGCTCCCCAGTCTGCCCCAAGATGCGCTTGAACTTTGGAGAACCTCCCATGTCCGGTCTGTGAACTGCCTCTTTCCATCAGTGTCAATTACAGATGGAATGAATTGCCCCACTGCCTACCAGAAGGTGGGAAGAAGGTCCTATGATCTTGGGTGATGGATGCTGCTCCTTTCAGCGGAAGTGCCTTGGGCTAGGGCAGGGCTCTGCAAGCTTTTACAATTAAAAGAGCCCAAACAAGATCAGAATTGAAAGCAAGAGACCAGCAAAGAGCTGGAATAAGAAATCTTAATTGCATAACTGAAAATATACTCCTTACCATCGCTGACAATTGATATGTGGACTAATGATCCATAAAGTTTCTACCTTCCAAACCCTGTTTGTTACAAGTCCTTTATTAGGAAATCGTCCACATGAACTCTCAAATTAAGTAATAAATGTACACAGGAGCACCCTGCAAAATTGGTTTACTGCACTGGCATAAGTCTGCACATGGTACGCACTTGGATTCCTGGCAGCTGTTCACCTCTATCATTTCGCTTTCTGTAAAGCATCCCTTGAGTCCCACAAGAACTTTTCTTGCCTTTCCCTTCGCATACTAGTTGTCTTACCATACCACCTACCCAGGGCATTAAAAAAAGAAAGAGGTGCCAGAACTCTCAAGAGGGAAATGAAGTTTTCGATTTGTATACTGAAAACTCATGAACTTTTAAACATTTTAAAAAGAATGTTGTCAAAGAATTCTGTTAAAATATTTTTAAAGAGCCATATTGGGTTCTGTGCTGAGCTGTACTTGACTCTTTTAAGAGCCATGTGTTTCCGACCCACGGTCTAAGGCATGTGAAGAGCTTGATTTAAGTGTATAAATGACATAACATACACGTACGCGATTCATTTGCTGTACAAAAAGGACAAAGGGAGTTTTTTGACCCTCAAAAGCTTATACCCTAGCCCTGACCTGGATAGCCCAGGCAAGCCCAATGCCGTCAGATCTTGGAAGCTAAGCAGGGCTGGCTAGTATTTGGAAGGGCAACCTCCAAGGAATACAGAGGCAGGCGGTGGCAGGCCACCTCTGAATGTCCCTTTGCCTTCAAGCCCCACTAGGGGTCGCCAGAAGTCAGCTTGACTTGATGGCCAAAAAAAAGAAAAAAGCTTATACCCTGGACATCTAGTCGGTCCCTAAGGTGCTATACCAGACTCGAATCTTGCTCTTCATTTTTGCCGTTTTTGCATTTTTTAAATTTATATCCTGCTTTTTCTCCCCAATTGGACTCAAAGTGGCCTAGAAAACTATTCTCCCTTCCTCCGTTTTCTCACTACAACAGCCCTGTGAGGTAGACCAGGCTGAGAGATTGTGGCAAGCCCAAGGCCACACAGCAAGTTTCCATAGTAGAAGTGGAGATTCAAATCCAGGTTGCCCAGGGTCCTAGTCTGCTACCGTATCCAATGCAGGCTTGATCTACTGGTCTTTTTTTTAGGCGTTACATTTCAGATATAAATCTGGACCCAAAGAGATGAAATCATCAACAATCGCGGCTCTTTGGGACAGATAGAACGTCACTAGATA